GCCTCCCCGCCCTGAGGTTTCAGCCCCCATAGGCTTGGCCGGAGACCTCCCCCACCATCCGCAGAGCCATGGCTGGCCTGACCCGGCCTAGAGCGCTGCTGAGGAGCAGCCACTGGGCTGGGCAGACAGAGGCTGCCCCGGGGGAGTGCCCTCGAGGAAGCCGCCTCACCTGCTTGCTGTACGAGTCATCGAACATGTGGTTCATGATGTCCTCAGCCAGCTTGGCCTCCTCGGGGTCGGCGGCCCGGCCCACCCAGGTGTAGACGATGCCTTGGTTATCGGTGCTCTCGAACGGCACCTAGGGGCGTGGAGAGCCCGTCAGGCAGGGGCAGAGCCCTTGGGAGAAGCGGGACAAGCTGATGGAGTCCCGTCAACAGGGGCCAAGGCCCTCCGAGAAGGGCAGAGGGAGGCTCCATGCGGCGGGATCTGCTGCTTTGGCTTAAGCCAGGAGTTCAGAGCAACTCGTTGCCCCCAAGGTCAGCCAACAAGTCCTGACCAATGCTCCCACTAATCTTTTCTAGCCACGTGCAGAATAATGTTTTACACGCACCGAGGCCTGTGTGAATGTGCACCACCAGCAGAAACACAAACCGAGCTGTGGGTGCTCAGCTGATCAGCGCTGGACTCTCTCCCCTGAGCCGCCTCACACAGCTGGTCCTGCCCCACACCCCCAAGCTTTCCATTCCTCCTCTCTCCAGCTGCTCCTTGCCCATGAGCTGTGGGGAGAAGAAACCAGGCACCCAGCACCTTCAATGGCAGCCCTGGATGGCTGGTGCCTCCTTGGACCAGCCACGAGAAGGTGGCAGCAGGGAGTTTCCAGGGACTCCACCTCGTTAGCCAGAACAGGGAGGGAAGAGGGAGGGCAGGGGAATCACGGCCTCTTGCTTTTTAAGTAAAAGAAACAGGCACAGAATTCACGTCCCCCGCAGATTTCTCCCTGCAGAACAATCCATTCTGTTGCGGTGGTGCGGCAGTTACACCTTTTGGCCAGAGACGGCAGCAGGCTCACTGTCGAAAGGGCGGGGCCGTGGCCGCCCCACGTCTGCAGAGGGGGATCTGGTGCTTGGGTGCAGACCCGAGCGGTCGCAGCCGCAGGCCCACGGAGCCCCCAGCGGCGCCCCAGCCCCAGGGCCCCTCACCTTCAGGATAAAGCAGAACTCCGAGTTGAGCAGGCTGGCGGCGGTGCCGATCTGGATGCACCTGCAAGGGGAAGACGAGGCGTTCTCAGCCCCCGCCTGGATCCCC